ATCCATCCATCCATCCATCCATCCATCCATCCATCCATCCATCCATCATGGCCGGAGCCGCTAGCTCTCCAGCGTTTTTCCGCCTGCACCAGTTAAGTGAAGCGAGCGCGCACGAGAGGACTCACTGTTGCAGTTCGTAGAAATTTAACAAGATAAACACTTGAAAACAATTATTTGTTTGCTCGACATTATAGCAACTGTGTGTCTCAGTTGAACTTTTCCTTAATAAATGTACTTTAATGGTCAAAACAGCTTAATTTCGCCTGGGCGGCGTGGCGCCATCCATCCATCCACCGCGGCCGGAGCCGCTAGCTCTCCAGTGTTCCTCCGCCTGCACCAGCTGAGTGAAGTAAGCGTGCACGGGAGGACTCGCTGTTGCTAAAGCGTCAGTCAAAAATTGCGTTAAGAATATGGGGAAAAAGTGTATAAGTCACTTCGGCATATAAGTCGCAGGACTGACAAATCTATGCAAAAAACTGCGACTTGTACACAGGAAAATATGGTAGTTGCAAAATGTTTGTTTAGCTATTTCTTATTTGTATCTCTTTAACAAACTTTTGTTGTCCAATTTTTGGATTGCCGCTACAAAATTCAAAATTACCCAATTTTAACAAAAAAAAAACATTTTTTTTTATCATTTACTATGTTTATTTAAAAAAAAAAAAAAAACAGGTTTAAGAGATTAGCAAATCACTGCATTCTGTTTTGATTTACATTTTGTACAAGGTCCCAGCATTTTTATTTTTATTTTTTGAGAATGGGTTGTATCGTGTAAGGTTCTAATCTAAGTGAATCAAGTTACCAGAAATTGATTTGGATGGGTTCATCCTTCCTCACCAATGTTGTGAGCATCTAAAGCATCAACCAGTCTAACAAAAGTTTATGCCATGCTTTAAATTTCTTGTAATATTTAATCCACAGGGTTTTTGCTTCTGGTACCAGACATTTTTGCTTTCCAGGACAAAAAAGAAAAATCAGTAACAGAGAAGACTGATGAGCCACTAAATCATGTCAGGTGGAGGACTGTGGTAAACCGTCTTGTAGCTCTTTATTTTAGGATGATAATTCAGTTTAAGAGGCCTCGCTGAAGGACGAGCATCTTTCAACGCAGTTCCTCATACTGAGTCATCACAGTATTATACTTACAACCTGTTACTCTTGAGAAACGCTGCACATCACGCACACATCAAGTTTATTTCATCTCATAGGATGACTACCTGTATGACTGCAGAATATCTATGATTCCCAGGAAGATGAGCAGCTTCTCGTCTTTGTGCGACCTGGCAGGGATGCCGCCCATCCTGAAACCGAGCGCAGAAGCAGTCAGAAAACAGAAACGCTTTTCTCTGCAAGGCTCGAAGCGTAGCCAGTGCGCTGCCTCACTTTTACGAGTGTTTGTAAAAGAGGCACTTGCACTATTTACATTCACGTGTGTGGCTGTAAATATGCAGAACAGTGAGTGTGTTTGTTATTTGTGTAGCTATAGTTATGTGAGAGGCCGACTGTGCTGCAGTGCCCTGGGCGAGGTGCGATGGTTGTATAAGAGTCTGAGAGAGGAAAAAGTGGAGATGAAGACAGACTGAGACAGAGTGTCCAAATGTGTGTATAATTCAGTGTGTATGTGTGTATGTGTGTGTGTGTGCCCCCTGTTCCCACAGCTGAACAAACTCACGTGTCGTCAGTGGTGACGGCTTCGGCAGCCTTGCCGTCTCCTTGGATAGACTCCATGGCGGTGGAGTAAAGCACCCTCTGACCTACAGGTCTCCGGCCGTCGCACCCAGCCTGGCCCGACTCGCCCCCCTCTCGGTGGCTCTGGTCCAGGACATGCACGCCCAGCAGCAAACTGTAGTCCATGATCTTAAAACTTTCCAGCACCTATTGCAGCATAAAAAAAAAAAAAAAGACGTTTTTATGAGAAATGCATGATGAGAACTACCGTGACTCTGAAACATGAACAAAAATCACGTTTGCAATTTTAATATTTTTCTCACGCTATAGCTCTCTACAATAAATACATTGAGTATTAAATGTTGTCCCCTCTGAAAGGTTTTCGTCACCCCCTCCCAGTTCAGTGCCAAGAAAGTGGTCGGCAGAAGGAAATCTCTGTTTAAGGCAGTTCTGAGCTAAACAAACAAGGTGTTTCTGCAAATGGAGCCGAGTGTTACGCGTTGACCTGTTTAAGGAGCTTGTTTCACCCAGAGACTCTGGTGACATAACAGCTAGTTCTCAACAAAGGCAGTCAAATAGGATCAGGGTCAGTAAAACAATACAGCCAGGCCTAGTTTGTGACCCAGACTTGGAAGAATAAAACTTTTGTTCTGGGTAATATCTCTCGACTAAATGCATTTTACAACATTTAGCACAAGTGTGAACCTAATCGGGCCTAATGTCACTTTTATGCCAAATACTTTAAAACTTTCTAAATCCAGAGCAAAAATGTAATCCTTTGGGATAATTATATTAAAAATACAGGCCTCAAAGTCAAAAGTCACTGACGTAAAAGTCCTATTAAACAAGAACATTTACGATTATCTCAAGCACATAAACATGGCATTGTGAAGTAAAGTCAGACATTAGGACTCAAAGTTCTTTTCGCAGAAAGGTGTGCTATAAAACAGATAAACGCCTCAATCCGACTAAGCTCAGAAAGCGTGAAGGACACCACATTAAATAAACCTCTGCTTGCTCTTTGGCATAAACTGCAGGATAAAATCTGCCGCAGCGTATGAAAAGAAGATTTAATAAAGCCACTGTTTTGTCAGATGAGAAGAGGATAAATATGGTTCAGCTCAGATGAACACACAGACACAAGGACAAACTGAATGACTGACAGACTGACTCAAATGAGACACTGAGCCTTTTGTCTTTTCCATATCAACAATTTGCATCCCGTCACCAGAACTCCCCCAGCCTATTCAAACAGCAGCCGTTTTAGACAGAGCCTCACACACCACACTGCCCACAGAAAGTCATTACTGGATGTCAGGGCCCCAGTGAACAATGACACCTTCACAGCAAATATTAACTGTTTGACTCTGTTGTTAGTTTGTGAAAAGACTATTTATTGTTTAATTTTGTTCGATCTCAGTGCAGCTTTTGATACAGCTGAACACTTGTACTTCTACATCTCCTCTAGGAGCAGGATGGGATTCAGGGTACTGTCCATCACTGGTTTGCTTTGTATTTATCAGACAGATCTTTCTCTGTTGAAATGGGAAATTTCTCTTCCTCAGCAGTTCCGTTAGCTGTGGAGTTCCTCAAGAATCTATCTTGGGACCAATTCTATTTACACCTTGCATGCTTCCCTTGGGCCATATGTTTCGTTTCAGTGTTATGCTGACGATACCTAAATCTATACACCCTTGAGTGATGGTGACCCATCCTCTGGAAGGTTTATTATAAATTACATCAAATGTGACAGGGCTAGTAACTGTTTCCCACTAAATGATACTAGATGTGAATGATGATTTTGGTTAACTCTTGCATCTTATTTAGAAAATTTATCGTTTGGTCTTCAGTCCCATGCCAGGAATCAAAGTGTCATTTTTGATTGTCATATAAAATGTACAAAACATATTAGCTCTATGGTGAAGAGCTCACCAGGAGGAATTCAGAAAGATTTCCGAGCTCAGATCCATTCTGTCTGACATGAAGACAGTTACAGTATTAATCACCTCCATGTTAGACTTTTTTTATTTCAGTCCGTTATGTCACCTCCAGCTGCTTCAGGACTCTGCAGTCAGACTTAACTGGCACCAGAAAAAAGCCGATACCTTTCCCGTGTTAGCATCTCTACACAGACTTGGTTTTAAAAATTTTCATTTTGTTTTCAAAACTTTGAATGGACTGACACAAAAATACGTACTCACTGTATTAGATCTTCTAAACAGGTCTTTTTGGATATTTTCCATGTTCTAGATTAGTCAGGAAGACTGTCTCTTTGCTAAAGTCACACCAAAACTTAAAAATACAATCCATGTTCCCTCTCTATTGAGCTTTTTTTTAAGCAGCTGAAGACATTTATTTTTAATTGAAAAAACAATGCTTTGGGCTTCTTTCTTTAAAATTCTAGTCTCCTTCTTGACTGCTCTCTTCTTTTATTTCAAAGCTCAGTTTTCTTTCAGTGAGCGGGACAAACTTCACCGACTTCAGTTTGTCACAGACCTCTGCTTTAAACCTCTGATGTGTCTCAGTATAGCCTTCCCTGAAGCTCTCCATGTCAGTAAGTATAGATTCTGCCAGGGTCTCCCACCACAGACTGGCGTTATTTCACCACGAGCTTTCAAAGTCTGAGTCTGTCTGCACCAAAAACACAACACACAGATGGGTCCACGTACATTTCTGGCAGAGCAGACGCACTGATTCTGAGAAGACACTGACAGTATGTTTGTTGACATCTTCAGGAAAAGTTCACAATTTATAAATGGCTCCATAATTGAGAGAGGTGACCTGTGTCAAGATGCATTCTTGACACAGGTCACAGGTCATTTGATACTCAAATGAATAACTAATAAAACTAATACCGGTAAGTAAAAGTTAAAAGAGGGGCACATATTTTGGCACAACACCAGCAATGCTGCTCTGTAATGCAGTAGTAATGATGTACAGACTGTGTCAGCAGCCAGGTGATGGATTAAAAATACTTAACCACTACCATAGAAGTATTTCCAAATTAAAAATAATAATTGTAGAGGTGAGATATTTGCCAACATAATGAAAAAATGGCTATGTGTAGCAACAATGTGATGTGCGAGCTTCTTGCTTTTAAAGAAGAAGGTGAATTTAACCAGAATACCACTGGAAATGTGAACGAAGGCCCACTTTTAATGAGACGAATGTGAGAACACAGCTACGACCGTGACAAAACAGAAAGAAGCTCCAAACTGCAACGTCTCCATAGGAAACTCAACCAAGTGGACGAACACAAAAGATGAAACCATCAAAGCTGGATGGACTGGCTTTATTTTGACTTGTGCAACACAATTTGGGGACAGAGACACCCAGTTGGGCAGATTGCTCTTGATGCGGAATGGAGACAAACAACCATGCAGAGTATCTGAGCATAGATACAAAGAAAGATCAGACAGCACAAGCTCAGAACTTGCTCCTGAACAAACTACTATCAAAACTCCCATTTCCTGCATCACCCCCTTCCTGGTAATTACCGTTGATGTGCCTAATGATGAATAAGAGTAAAAATTCCTGCATAAATGCAGACTGCAAATTTATTCTAAAAAGGACTGTATGCATTGTTTGAAGTGAGTAACACAAACACATTATAAAGCCCTTTGAAGAATCTTGGTATGATCTGAAAGTCCAGATTTCTCATCTACAATAAATAAAGTCTCCTGTTTCACACATATGCTGTGTGTAAAAACACAGCTGAGCATTTTAATATCATTGCCCTGATCCCTGCCTCTGTAGTGTTTGTCTCGCTGTAATGCAATAGTTACACATCGTCCACAGCGGTACAAACACACACTCTGCCTTACAATACACCTTCTGTTTGCTCTCTCCACTAGTGCAACATTAATTATTAATGCCTAATGCTGTTTTGGCATTTGTGGAGTATCAAGGGAGCTGCAGTGATGGAGAGAGGAGACTTTAAAGGAAGAGGGCACAGCCTGTATTTTCCTATAAGCATCCCATCATGTAGTAGAACATCGTCTTTTCCTTCTTGTTGCCAGTACTCTCTGTCCAGCTTTACTCTGACCCCCAAAAATGTCTTAAACAAAGATCCGAGTGTTCAAATTTTTAAAAAGAAGCCTGGAATTGTTGCAGATTTTGTACCATTTCCCCCCCCCCCCAAAAAAACACAGCTCCACCTCCTTTCTGCCACCCCTTTCCTTCCCTGTTGCTTGGCTTCTGGCGACCCTTCTCCTGTTTAGGACCCCTCCTGGGGTGACAGGGTTAGCTGCTTACTCATGGAAATGAACAGAGGTTTTTTGCTTAGAGGGCACTTTGCTTCCCGCTTCGGAGGCGAGCACAGGAAGCCTTGACAATAACAAACTACACAGCGCTGACGCTCGAACAGCTGCTGCTATACAGAAACACACAGATACAACGCCACATACTTTATACATACAAAATATGGACCCGGTGGGTAGGCGGTGCATGACAGAGACTAAAGGTATGTGTTAAAAAACAGGTTAAACATTAAGGAAGCAATGACTTAGCAAAAGTGGAGGATGCCATTCTGGCCTTAAGAAAACATTAAAAAGAAAACTAAATAATGAGCAAGTCAGCGTTTTAGTTAATGATGATGAGAAGAGCATAAACCTGAAGAGATGACACTGGGGTTTGTTTGTTTTTTCCTGAATTTATGGTGATCTCACCCCGACCCAACATTGCAAGCTCCTAAAAGCTTGTGAAGAAGAAACTGTTTGACGAAAAGGGTGGGAAAGCAACAGCTGTTCAAACAGGTTTACAGATGTTTTTTTTTTTCCTTCAGGGTGTTTCTGATTAATGGGAACCACAACTGAATAATTAAACACAACAACAAACCTTGTCAATTTGTGCACAGTTTCGAGATAGGATATGAGATTAGTAGTTATCCGACAGGCTAAACTAAGCGCACCGAAATTCCTGCTCCTGTGACGTCTATCAGGATTTTCACTCTGAAACATTAAGCCATGTCGTGTGAAAGCCAATAAAATGTTGGGTAACTATTTCCATGCAGGATTTTCAGACCTGGCAGGTTGGTCCAGCTCTCCAAGAACTCTTTCTTCTCATCCACTCATCCTGAATTAATAAAGAGCCAGTATCTCTTTTGTCTGGGAAAGCCAGAGGGTATTTGGGGGGTAAAAACTAGGGATGCATGATATTGGATTTTTGGCCGATATGCCGATATGTTAAAACTTATGTGGCCGATAACCGATACCAATACCAATATTTTCCCCCCTAGACCTACTTACAGAGACTACATAGCTTTCTCTGCTTTTGAATTAAAATACTACATTATTCTGCATGGTCATCTTTTATATTGGTGAGTTATTCTGATGGAATGGCCAATGTCCAATATTTAACTTTATCGCTACTATTGGCTGATACCGATATCAAGCCGATAATATCATGCATCCCTAGTAAAAATGGTGCAAAATACACCAATTGTCTGTTGTATTCCACCTGAATTTGAGCTTGCGGCATGTTTGCATGATTCACAAACTCCTATCATTATTTGAATCATGATTCACTATGAACTTACAATTGTCCAACAAGCAGCAGAGACAACAAAAATCTAAAGAAAACACACCAGTTGGATGATCAGAAGCTCTGCTGCAAATCCACCTACCCGGCAGTCTCTCTGCAGGGTCTTCATGAGGTTGTTGTACGTCTCGGTGTCAAAGTAAAGCCCCTCGTCGTGCATGTCCTGGAAGTCCAGGTCTTTGTACGTCGGACAGGCTTTCTCCCGCTCCTTCCTGGACGCCCGTCTCTTGTAGGTGGACCCCTTCAGGTCGTATTTGTAGTGCATTTTGATGGAGCGTGGCAGCACGTTGTTCATCACCACCAGTCGGATGTTGATGCCCCCCGACTGGATGCAGTACAAACCATAAAACTTTGGCAGCAGTGTGCGTGGATTCTGGTTCAAGTTCTGTGGAAATGCAAGTTTGATGGTTTTAATCCAGTACAGTTAAAATCAGATCAGCTTCATCCAAGTTCTGTCCAGTTCAATTGAATTATTAAATTCAATTCAGCTAAGTTCATCCCAATCCATGTTTAATTAATTCAACTCATTTTCACTCCAGTAAATTAGATTTGATTGATCCAACATCCTTCAGTCAGGTCATCTGGACGGTTTCTTTTTTTGATTGAGACGTTTCATCCTTTATCCAAAGGACTACATCAGTCCGAGGAGCCGTTGATATTTTGAACCACTTTGACTATGGCTGCCTCAGAGGGGTTGACGGAGGAGAGGGCGGGCCTCAGAAGCCATTTTATCGCCATCAAACTGGTTGGTCCACTATGTGAGTGTGCTGGTTATGGGACCAAGTTTGTTTGTGGCTCCTCAGACTGATGAAGTCCTTTGGATGAAGGATGAAACATCTCAATCAAAAAAAAAAAAAGAAACCATCCAGATGACCTGACTGAACGATGCTGGATTTTTACCTGGATTATTGAGCACAAACTTTGATAAATTTGATTGAATTCAACTCCGTGAATTCAGCTCGGTTCACATAAGCTGTTATCAGGAGTTTTTATTGCAATTAATAGTGGCACGACAATAATCGAGTGAAATAGTTTATTTCAGCTATTTGAAAATTCTGTTAAATTACAACTAAAACCCACATGTGTAGGATGTAAAAAATTTAAAAAAGAAGTGTCAGGATTGTCACCATGTAGTATCCAGGTAGCAGCCGCTGCAGAAACTTGGCCTCTTTGTGCTGCACGGTTTTAATGATGAACTCGTCATCGCTGGTCAGGTAGAAGAGAGAGCCGCTGGCGCCCGGGTTGGTCAGCTCGATCAGAGGCTCGTTTACGAGCGAGTACTGAGGAAGGAGATACATAAACAGAATCAATTTGACGTTTCACGTGTAACACACACCCAACAACTGGAGAACAGCTTCATCTGCTGTGTAATCAAACAAAAGCTCCTTTTAAACACGGTAACTAAAACACGTGCAGGAAGAAAAACACGATAAAAGTTTATATGGAAAAAATGACACTAAGCCAAACACATCTTTTGATTGTTTAACTGTAGTGCATCTTTATTGAGCTTAGGATTTGTTTCACCTTTAGAGCAGAAAAACAACATGATGTGTGTGTTTGTGTGTCTGTGTGTTACCAAAATGTCTCATGAACCACAGAAAAGATTTTAATGACAATTTCTGAAATGAATCCCTGAATGTGCCTCCACAACTGATTACCTTTTAGAGCCAGCCTAAGTTAATATGAGTGTCACAGCCAACAAACCTTAGAAAGCACATAAACATCTATCATTTAGTCAATTTTAAACATATTGGCTTCAAATTTGGTGCAGTTGTAGCTGAGATTTTTCCCCAATATATACAAGTGATATTCTTTTTGCATCATTTTTGCTTAATACTTTAGCATTGATGGTTGGAGTCAAGCCTGTTTGTCTGTTAGCAAAATATCTCATGAATGACAGGATGGATTTGAATGAAACTCACAGAAATTAATTACAGGAGTCCCTCGTTTATCGCAGGGGATCTGTACCCTGAAGCCCCGTAATAAGTGAAAAACTGCAAAGTAGGAATAGTAGTACAAGTAATAAGTAGTAGATTATTTTAGTATTCATAAGTCATTTTAAACCTTTCCCATACTCTTGCAATGTTCTAAATAATGTTTCTAAACTCTAAACGCTCTAAAAGAGCACAGATGTCATGATTTCAACTCTTTGCCTCCGCTGCTCTCTGCCACCTGCAAGTGTTCTTGGCCACGCCCACTTCTCCGCTCTGCAGGAAGTTTATCTTGCAGTAAGGGCAGGATGAAGCTTTTTCCGCAGCTCTGGGCTGTACAAATGTGCAGCAGGTGCTAAATAATTTAAAATAATTTATTTTAAATTTTAAAAAATCCATGCCAATCGTGCAGCTCATCCATCAATCAGCCAATTGTGTGTCATGTCCAATCTTATTTTGAAAAACAACGATCCGAGTCCGTGATAAACAAACCGCATAGTAGTGAGGGACTACTGTACTGGCTAAACATCTACAACTGTTCACCTTTTGGTGTCAACCCAGTTCAAGTTGGCCTACAGGGCTAATTAACATTAGCAAACACAAAAATGTATTAAACGCAGTGAATTCTTTTAGATACTGAACATGAAACTGGTATGGTAGTAGCTGAGAGTTATTCACAACACAGAGCATGACATCTCACATGAGACTGTGCATAGCATTCCTTTTGAGGTTTAAAAGAAGCTGGTAAATCTTTAATTTGTATAAGCGCTCACTCTGCTTCACATTAATGCAGTTTCACCTCTTTACCAAACCACACTGGTTTCTCTGGACCTTTGAACCTCGCTGCCAAGGGGCAGCACCCAATAGACAGCACCCAATAGACAGCTAACGTGCTAATTAGAGCGCTTACACACAAAATACACACACAACAGATGGAAAGCCTTCAAAGTGTGAGGACGAGCGTGAGAGAGCAGCAGCCTGTTGAGTAGTTTTACATGTCAACTGTTGCGTTATGAACTTTAGAGGAGAGGGGACACACTGAAGGCATCTGCTCCCGTCCTGACTCCAGCTCATGATGAGCTGCAGCCACACTGAGGTTTTGACCCAAACACTGCTGTGGTTTGTTGCATTCGTACGTGAATGCATTCTGTTTGAATCTGATGTCTGCCTCAGTGAATTCAGCAACACCTAAAGTGCATCAAACTCTCTGCACAAACTCACTCTGCTGCCTTCAAGTTGCACGTTTTGTCTCGTGTTTTTTTTCCACCCCACCTGTGCAAAAACAAATTTAGCACCCAGCAACAAGAGTGCAGCTGGCTTGGCTTTATGAAAGGCTTGGAGGGGCAGATGGGAAGTAGGAAAGCGGCGTCACAACAGGATAAATTCAGAACAGCGTCAACACAAACTATAATTCTGTTCTGAGAACAAAGCATTCAGGGGAGATGAAAACACAGTGAACGGTTTTTCTTCATTTTTGCACAATACTATATTTTTCAAGTTAGGTGAATAAAGAAAACAGAACTGAACAAACATAAGAATTAAGTTCTGAATTATAAAAGCATTTCATTTTGTCCATGAGTCCACCTGGAAGATATCGTCTGCTCAGAATCAATCAGAATCGTCCTGTTTTATAACATAAAGATCTCCAGACTGTAAAACAATTTGGTGTTTTTTTTTCTCTTACGCTGAAGGAAACTTGTTGATTTATTTATTTTAACAAGATAATTAGTTGCTGATTCAATTTAGCTTTGTGCTGATTCTCATCGTCATCATGAGAACCCATCAGTCCTCATTATAACATTCCTATCAACTTCATTCTTTTACAGTGAGTTGAAGTTCCAGCCTGAAAAACATTAAAAACATCTGGATGCAGTTCTACCTGAGACTAGCACCCTGGAAGGTATTCAAAGATAAAAACAGCACGACTATGCATCTTCTTTTGGAGACCTGAGACAGTTTTTCTAACGTTTTTTTGACAGATAAAGGTAAAAGAAATAATAATACGAATAATAAAACACACAACTGGGAGAAAAGGCAGCAAAGCAAGAGTTTTATCAGAATTATTGTCTGAGCTGGGAGTGACATTTTGAGAGGCGCACTGATTTGTTTTCCTGCAGAGAAAAACTGACAGTTTGTTGGCAGAAACAGAATATCACAGCTGCAGTGAATTTTAAGTTGCATCAGCTAAAAGGATGTTGGCAGAGTTGAACATGGAGCCAGAGAAATTACAAAACAATCCAGATTTATAAAAACTCTGTTCATCACATCTGGTGTGGCTGATGTGCTAGAACATGTGCATTTGGCTTCAGGGGTATGTGCCGGTCTTTGTGAGTTCAGTCCAGGACAGGCAACCAAATACACCTTTACTAAATTAGAAATAATTTTTTCTTTATATTAAATGTTATATTTAACATCATTCAGGTCATCTTTAATGCCAACGTTTAGGATCGTCTTATGTGGATGAAATCATAATAATTATTTTAGTCAAACCTTGACAACTGCACTGTATTGCATAATGTCAAACAATCTGTTAGCACTCACAGTGTTTGTAATAACTGTCAGCTGTAATCACATCAAATCTGAGCTCATTATCTGTAAAACTGACTGAGTTATAGTCATTTATGTGCGTCCAGAGGTCAGTTGGCTTTGGCAGCCATGTTGAATTGGTTTGATAAGCTCGTAAACTCTAAAATCCATCCAGTGGTTCATGAGATATTTACAAAAATATTTTGTTGACTAAAAATAACGATGACCTGTGAGGTCTTGGGGAGGTTTTGGTCTCACCAGGTAGTCGTCGGGTTTGATGCCAAACAGATCTCTGAAATAGCGGAAGGCCAGCGGGGCATACGTCTTGAAGCGAAAGTCGGGGTAGTGATGAGCCGGGGTCAAGTTGCTTCCTTCGCTGGTGTGCGTGAGACGACACAAAGAAGCCCAGAGGGAACAAAAACACAAACATCATATTAGTGAACATTCGGTGATAGTAACAGATCGCCTGTTCCAGCAGAACCGATGCAACGTGAACCCCAACACCTCAAGTTTGCATGTGACCTTCTCAGCTGTTGACTCTCGTGTAATCTGCTCCCTGCTTGCATGAAAAGGCGTCAGTGGAGTTGTCTGTGGGAACCCAGATTCACCAGAGAGGTGATGACAAAAAGGCTAGTGTAGAGTTTTTCACCTGGAGACAGACGACGGCTCAGATTACTGGATCCAAACAATACTCAACAACACGTGAGCCTTCACTATAAGAGTGGGGGAGATTACAGCACGCGTTAAAAAACAAATTAACCCACATTTTGTAGTCTTTATTGAAGCGTGAGGCGTTCGCAGACAAGCTTCGACAAAGACTGACCCTGCTTTTGTAACTAAGCTGACTTTCCTTCCAGGGGGAAATCAAAACACTGGAAGGAGCAGGAACTACTGGTCAAATAAATAAATAAACTTGTATTATTGTAGAAATATGACTTCAAATCAAGTTAGAAATCCAATCCTGAAAGCTGTGTACCTGTTTTATACTAAAATACTCCTGTTTCAGGTGAGGTGATACGTGTTGTCATCACTGCATGCACACTAAACAATGAAGTTTGTCCTCTGCATTTCACCCATTGCACGTGAGGTACGCACAGTGGAGCAGCGGGCGGCTATTTAAGCAGCCGGGGAGCAGATAGAGATTGTTATTTTATTTTACTCAAGGACAATCAATGTGTGGGCATGGCAGGGTGTCGAACCTGTAACTTTCTGGTCCCAAGACAGGTGTCCTACTACTGCACCACAGTTGAGCTGAGGGTGGAGGTGGGTGCGGGAGGAATCCGTTTGTGTGATTTACTCATTAAACCGGACAGTTCTCACAAGTCACAAGGGGTTAGCTAGAAGCTAAAAGAAGCAGAAGGGTAGCTAAATCCTAAAGGTATCAAAAGGCTAGTTGGAAGCTAAAGATAGCAAAAGACTAGATAAAATCTGAAATTATCAAAAGCTAATTATATCAACTGGCTAGTTAGAAGCTAAAGGTAGCAACAGATTGAACGATAACTAAAAGTTGCAAAAAGTTAACTTAAAGCTTGAAAGGGTTAACTAAAAGCTAAATGTAATATAAACTTGCTAAAAGTTGGAAAAGGCTATGCAAAAGCTAAAGAAACAAAAGTGTGGCTAAAAGTACCGAAACAGTAACTAAACCTTAAAAGGTAATAAAACGCTAGATAAAAGCAGCTAAATGCTAAATGCAGCAAATGGCTAGCTGAAAGTTAAAGTAGCAGAAGAGTAGCTAAATCCTAAAATTATCAGAAGGCTATTTGGAAGCTAAAGATAGCAAAAGACTAGATAAAAGCTGAAATTATCAAAAGGCTAGCAAAATACTGTACATCAATTGGCTAGTACATCAATTGGCTAGTTAGAAGCTAAAGGTAGAAATATACTGAATGATAGCTAAAAGTTGCAAAAAGCTAACTTAAAGCTTGAAAGGGTTAACTAAAAGTTAAATGTAACACAACACTTGCTAAAAGTAGGAAAAGGCTATGCAAAAGCTAAAGCAGCAAAAGTGTGGCTACAAGTACCAAAACAGTAGCTAAACCCTAAAAGGTAAGAAAACGCTAGATAAAAGTAGCTAACTATATGGTAGCTCAAAGCTAAAAATAGCATAAGAAGACAAAAATAGAGCCAGTGGTCTGAAAATATTTGAAAATGAAAAACTGACGGAGCTGAATATGTTCACGTATGTATGGCTAAAACTACACAAAGAATGCAGAAGTTAGATTGCAAGAAGTGTGTTAAAGATGATGCAAAAAGAAAATAATGGTGTGAATGTTGAATTCCCACAAAACTGCCTGGAAATTTTTCCGCTGATCCAATTTGTGGAAGTAGGTTAATAATGATTGTGTTTTCCAGGACAAATCTAAATCAGTTTTTATGTTTTAGGTAACGAGGCGACTGTGCTGTTGTCGTCGCAGTAATTAGACGAGGGCACAGTGTGTAACATGATGCATGTGCTGAGTCCACAATGCAACCTGACTACTTTGTTTGAGGGCAACATTTACGTGTCAGGAAAATATTAAACAGCTCATGGAAATGTTTTGATTCAGTCTGATCAGAGAGCCATCTGTGTATGCAGTTTAATATGGATGCTTTAAAATAAAAAGCAACAGAGAATAAAGAGAAAAGGGAGAGAAAATGAGGAAAAAGAGCTTCTCAGCCTCTCTCATGATGAGTCTTTCCAGAAATAAATGATTTTTTGTGTGTTTTCACAAGTAGAGAAACACTCAGAGAATAAATAGAGGGTGGTTAAGTCAGAAATTAGATATAAAACATTAAATTTTCCTCTCTGCTGGTTATGTTTTGCCTTTTTGTGTCTTTTCTTTTTGTTTATCTCAGAGAAAAGCTGGCCTTGGAGACAACCACAGCTTTTAATAAACTTGAACATGGTGCTTGTTGTTGAGGGCGGTGTAACAGATTTTCTATTTCAGAGGCGTCGCAGTAAAGTAGCTGCTAGAAAAGGGGCAAACTAAATGTTTAGCTGCTGCTGAGAAGCAGGACAATGATAGGTCAGTGTGCGTGCCAAGAACAGGTTTGCATAAACCATACAGAGTTTGCATACCCTGGTGCTGCATCTCAAAGGTAAACCACAAACTATTTCAGGGCTGGACTCAACATTTCTTCCTGAAACCTGAGTTATGAAAAACATTTAGTGGATGTATTTGAGCAAAGAACGAACCTATTCTGGCTCATGATCACCAACATGGTCATCACTTCTATAACCTTCACATAAATAAAGACTGAATTATCAAAAATACAAATATGTACAATACTGTTAAAGTTACAATCGTAACAATCAGTCAAGGGGGGGGGGGTGCTCGGTGGTCTTGTAATCCTGAGGCTGCAGGTTTGAGTCCAGGTTTTGTCAAGAAGGATATCTGGTGTGAAACAATTAGCAAATCTTTTGCTCCCAGCAGAAAGAAACTAGACTAAAGAGGGGAACAGCCTCTTATCTTTTCACAAGATTTTATATTTTATTCATGTTGGTTTAAACACACAACAAAAAAATCTGCTTTGAAAGAAAAATGTACAAACAAAGGGATGAACGAGTCAAAGTAATGGAAATAACACTTGCTATTCACAGGGGGCTGAGTGATACTAGCAATAACAGCATTGTAAGAGGGGGACAGTTGAACACGGAGGCCTCCACCCCTGTTTAATGATGGACAATTTCTTTTCACAAAGATGGCCTCCTTTACTCCTCTCTCAAACCATCGTTCCTCTCTGTCCAGGATGTGAACATCTTCATCCCTGAAAGAGTGACCGCTGGCCTGGAGATGAGTGTAGACTGCAGAGTCCTGGCCTGATGGTGTTGATCTTCTGTGCTGGTCCATCCTTTTGGCCAGTGGCTGTTTAGTTTCCCTGATGTAAGACTGATCACAGCCCTCCTGACACTGAACAGCATACACAATATTACTCTGTTTGTGCCGGGGGACTGGATCTTTGGGATGAACCAGTCTTTGCCGTGATGTGGTTTGGGGTTTAAAGCCACTGGGACGTCATAAAAAATAAAAAAAATGTCTCTGTTTCTCAGAAACTCCTGCAACATATGGAATGACCACTGGTCATCTTCATCTTTGTGAAGAAAAACTGTCCATCATTAAACAGGGGTGGAGGCCTCCGTGTCCAACTGTCCCCGTCTTACAATGCTGTTATTGCTAGTGTCATTCATCCATCCATCCATCCATTATCTTTACCCGTTTGTTCCATTTTGGGTCACGGGGGTCGCTGGTGCCCATGTCCAGCAATCACTGTGCGAGGGGCGGGGGACACCCTGGACGGGTCGCAAGTCCATCACAGGGCCACATAGAGACAAACGAGACAAACAACCATTCACTCTCTCACTCACACCTAGGGACAATTTAGAGTTACCAATCAGCCTAACATGCATGTTTTTGGTCTGTGGGAGGAAACCGGAGTACCCGGAGAAAACCCACGCATGCACGGAGAGAACGTGCAAACTCCACCCAGAAAGGCCCCTGGACCGGGGTTTGAACCAGGGACCTGCTCGCTGAGAGGCAGCAGCTCTACCAGTTGCGCCACCGTGCTGCCTAGTGTCATTCAGTCCTCTGTGAATAGCAAGCGGCCATCAGGGCACTAACGATCAGTCGTTAGGCTGATGGTCCTCCTTTATCATGTGAACAGCTAATTTTAGCTGTCACCAGCAAACTGGCTGATCCACGACGAGAAGGGGCTATTTATAAGACTGAGTTTGTTGCAGCTCCTCAGACGCCTTTTGGATTAAAACGTAACGTTTCAACAAGTTTGTCATTTTTTTTTAATCCGTGCAGAGGGGTTGACTTTGTTAGATTTTTCTACCTGGATTACTGAGCATGCATCAGGATAATGTGAGAATAGGTTAGTTTACTTTAGTTATTGTTTAAATTGATGGTTTTCAACATCATACATGACCTTGGGTTCATTAGTTGGAAATCACTGCTGCAAATGAATTATAAATACAGACTCTGACTGTGAGTCAGAGAACCGACTTTGTGAGATTACTTTCAAAAGATTCCTGGCTCAGCTTTAGATTCTAGAAAGCGTTTCTTCAGGCTGCTGATGCCATTGTGAAGCTGGAGCGGACTGACGTATGCTGTGTGCTGCAGCAGCAAGAGGTTGGCAGTAAGCAGCTTTCACTGCTGCTGGCGCGATAATCCACTGAAGAGTTACATCCCTGCACCATGACTCAGAGCAGCAAAACTGACTTCACTGATCAAAGATAATGGAGGTGATCTACAGAGGCGCTGCCGCTTCTTTACATTTCATCCCAGCAGCAGCCAAGACCAAGATTTACAAGTGTCTGACACAGACAAACCAAGAGAAATGGCAATTTCTGTTAAAAAAAAAAAAAAAAACAGCTGAAATAATGGAGTGACGGCTAGCTTTTTGAATTTTGCTGAAGAAGCTGAAATTGTGTCGTTAGCGCTAAAAGATGCTAAAAGTTTAAGAACAAAACAACTACATTTCTATTCTGTAGCTGAAGACTTTTCACTTCCCAGTCGAAGAGCTTTTTAGTTCAAAACTAGAGAGATGGAGTTTCAAGCTAAACTTAAAGCTAAAACTAGAAGAAGTTGAACACTAGCTAAAGGGTAAAAGCAGCTAAATGATAGCTGAAAGTAGTTTAAAAAACAACTATAAGTAACATAACTAGCAATAAGCTATGTAAATTAAAAATGGCTAGCTAAAAGTAGCAAAACATTTGCTAGAATCCAAAAGTAACAACAGCTAAAAGCTAAAGTAGCAGAATGTTAGCTAAAAAAAATTAAGTAGCATTAAAAAAAAAATAGAGCCTGTATCCTGAAGCCGTTTACAACGAGAACGTTTAACGGAACTGAAGACATCTCCATGTATTCTGAGGGGAAATCCTTTGTAAATAAATTAAGTATTAAAAATAAAAAATAAAAAGTTACAAATGCCCAATGTCAGAGCATTCATCTCCTGACTGAGCAAGGTGATTTTTATAAGCAGCGCTAAAAAAAACAACATAAAATAAATAAAACAATAATAATAAATAAATAAATAAACAATATTGTGAATGTTGAATGAGAATGATATAATTCTGAGTGGATAAACGTGTCCATTTTGCTCTCCAGTGCCATTTTTAAACGTTTAGCAAACTGTCACAGCCTGTTACCACCGGCTGTTCTGTATCTGTTTTTTTTTTTTTTTAATTTACGAGGCAGTTATCAGAATCACGAGTTCCTGCTAATAAATAACCTTGAGATTATATAAAACTCTGGCTGGTGGTGTGATGACGAGCACATTCAGAGATCGCTTCTGAAATGTGTAATGTACGACACGTCCGGCTGCGTGCAGACGCTGCATGTACACCCGTGTGAGCAGCCGTGTCCTGAGCACCACTGACCTGGGCAGAAAGACGCTCTCCACCACGTAGAAGTCTTGCATAAGCACATCTCTGTCTGGCTTTGAGGTGAGGTTGCCCACTGTGTAGCCAATCCCGAGCTGAATGGCTCCCTTTAGGGCCGACGATGTGGTCTTGACAAGAAAATGGAAGCGAAAACATCACATTAGTTTGGCCGTCACTGCTGTTCACTGCTGTTCCAACCACATGCAAAAAATGGAGCAAAACACAAAGAGCTGAAAAATATTTAGAACTCCATTTGTTTCAGTCACACTGCAATTTTGTTCTAGTCTATAAACGGTTGAACAAGGTTAAAGATTTATCTCAATCTTTTTGAAGTGTAGTTTTATGGGAAGGTCCTGAACAGTTAAATTCTTACCGTTCGCAGGTAGATCTTCGAACAACCTCAGTTTGGAGAAACAGAGTTTAATTCTGACCAGCGTGATGAGCTAATGGCTAGTCTGTGCAGGGTCAAAATCAAAGTGGATTGTCGCCACCTTAAAACTTTATGCAAATCTTTGTTCAAAAACTATTTTATAAAATGTAACACCATTTAAACCCATCCATCAATTATCTTTACCCTCTTCTTCCTTTTCGAGTCATGGGGGGTCACCGGTGCCCATATCAAACAGTCATTGTGCAAGAGGCGGGGGACACCCTGGACAGGTCTCCAGTCCATCACAGAGACACATAGAGACAAACAACCATTCACTCTCTCACTCACACCTAGGGACAATTTAGAGTTATCAATCAGCCTAACATGCATGTTAGGAGGAAACTGGAGTACCCAGAGAAAACACACACATGCACGGACAGAACATGCAAACTCCACCCAGAATGCCCCCTGGTTGGGATTTGATCCAGCAACCTTCTTGCTGAGACGTAACAGCTCTACCAACTGTGCCACCCACAATTATTTCTAGACATATTATTATATTCCAGCTAGAAGTGTCCCAAGCTGCAACAAAAGTGCTACAGTTAGCTGCTGCTAGCTAAGTTTATAAAAAAGCGTTCCCACAAACAGCTACAAAATATTCGAGGTGGGAGTTGTTTCAAGACGGCAGCAATCCACTTTGTTTTATGCTCCACTCAGACTTCCCGTTAGCTCATAAATATTTTCTAAATTAAACCTCTATTTTTCCAAACTGTGATCATTTAAAGAGCTATCTGCAACAGGTAAGATATTAATTGTTCATAACTTTCACAGAACACCATTTGAAGCATCTGAACTATTCTGTTAATTTTTTTTATTATTATTTTAAATAAATGAGAGCATATTTAACCAAATTAAAAAACAACAACATTGTATCTGTGTTTTGCAGAACAACCATATAAATCAGAATTATTCCCATTAAAACACATCTAATTAAAAATAACTTTAATGAGCTGGTAAACATATATTATACGTTTCCCAGTCACCACTGAAACACCTTTTTAAAAACCTGAACAAAGATACCTACTGTGCCATTTAAAGACTTACATCTTTAAGACTTGCCTCCATCAGCAGTGATGGCTGGTTTTTCCCCCCAAGCAAAGTAAATAAATGTGACCAACACTTGACTGATCTCTTGCAGCTCTAACAGAGGTCTGGACATAATGTTCTGCAGCTCAAGGACATTTTAACCCCTTAAAAATGATTTAGCTGGCTCCAAACAGAAGCATTTAAAAATATTTAAAAAAAAGTGTAATAGAATCAAGCAAAAAATTTAATAGAATCAATAAATTAAACTAAACAGTGAGAGAGCCTTGTCTGCTGTACCTTCTTGTATGTTTTCTCTCTGCTTGTATTCAAAGTCCCTCTCATCCTATTTTCAGTTGTGGTTGACATCTAAAAGAAGAGACACAAACCAGCTGCATATCAGACAGGAACAAACTCCATCCAGCTAATCAAAGACTGTTTGTTGCATAACCTCAAATAAAATGGGCATTTTGCTGTCGACGTCTAGAGCATGAACTTACCGTGCCTTCTAGCGATAAGCTGTGCTGGACAAACAGCAATCAGGGCAACACCTCGGAGGTATTAGGTTGAGCAATCATCAGGGGAGCCTCTGAAAGAGAACAAGTGCTCATAGTGACTTTTGTGCAACGAAAAAAAGAGAAAATGAAAAAACTGTGCAAAGAACCACTAATAGACTGTGTAAGAGCAAGGCTCCTTCAAAGTAAAGATACGATGAGCTGAGTACCAAGGGACTGACAGACGGGTATGCCCTCCAGTAGAAGACACCATTCTTCTGCTAATCACTGCCTGACAATATTCTTTAGACAGTGACTCATGAGATGTTTGTGAGAATAACCGTCAAACATGTTATTAGAGTATTGTTCTCGTGCAGGAATGCTCTCCTTCTTGTCCCTTCAGCAGATCACAAATCACAGCAAGCACAGAGAAAAGTTTATGTGAACGAGCCGAAGACCCAAGGTCCCACTTAAATCACAACACTGAACTCCTGTTTAAGTCAGCTTTTTCATCCTTCCTCCCATTGTCTGTTTTTGCTCTCCAGAGAAAATAAGGCAGACTGACGTCAAGTCTGTGACGCTGAGCTTCAGTACTCTCTGAGCCCAAACCCTCGGACTTTCTCTGACAAGTCCTGGCACGTCTGCAGCCATCACGCCACCTGCATAAAAATGCACCTGCAGGTTCCAGATCTTTGAATGTCTTTCTGCTTCATCAGCCCTTCTGGTGCCGTGTCCTCCGGCCAACTGTTCTGTGACCGGCAGCAACTTCAGAGCAGAATATGTTGCACTAAAAATGTCCCTGTGAGCCTCAGAGGTTTTATTATGAAACACGCCAGATACAATTCTGACTATATGACATTGTTTAAACTCAAGACTAGATCCAGGAATCTTCCTTTTCCTCCATTCTTGGGTGCTCTTTGACTTTTTGACTTTTGGCATCACTTCAAAAATAAATACACTTGTCTTTAAGTCATCACAATTTTTTATGCTTAATTTGGTGATTTAAAAACGTCCAAACTCAAATAATGTCTCAACATATGCCACACAACTTTGCAAATAAACAGAAACTTGCCAAACAGAGCCATTTGTGCTCATTTATAATGTTGATTCTTTAAAATACACCAAAGATAACACAGTTTCACTCATAAAATAGTATTTTAGCAACAACAAGGTCATTCAGAAAAACAATCAGCTGAAAAACTTGGCGTACAGTCGATGATTAACTGACGGAGGATGCAGCTCTCAGGTCTTGTGGAGCGTTTTTTCCCAATTTCTTAAAAGGAATTTCTTCCGGATACTAACATGACACTCCTTTTCTCATCCACTTTCCTCATATTTTTTTTAATGCGCACAATGTGTCGTCATGGTCATGTACAAGACTAGACAGCACACGAGTGAACTTCTGCACAGTGCTGAAGGGCACGGCTTTGTTAAAAATAGTCTTCTAACAAAGGAGCTTTGGGCTTCGAGATGAAATCGCGTGCACGTGCGCCGATTCAGATAAAACAAGAATGCAGCACTATGAGGTCTCATCTCCAGATTATCTCCAAACCAACATCTCTGTTGCCAAAACAACACAAACTGCACAAAGCAGAGAATGTGTCTCATTTAGGACTTTCTCCCTGAAAAATCAAGTTCTTTCTTATTTGAAAGAACATACGCATGCATACACTCACACAAGCTCTGATAGTGTTATGCGTTTAATCAAAAACAACAGCAACAAAGATATAAAATGCTGTAATCAATCACGAGCTGTGTCAGTGGGGGTGAATCTGGATCTGCTGGTCCACCTGAGCCGTCGCTCCCTCTGAGCCTGATCTGGAGCTGAAGCATGTTAATGAGTCTGCAGGCCTGTCTGGCTCTCAGCTCAGCTCTGGCCTGAGTGTCGGTGTCAAAATAAATTGCGCTGATATCTCTGCCCACCTCTCACCTGACCCCACAGAACCCAGTTTCCAGAACAGTCCGTGAGAGGCCAGCAGCTGCAGCGAACAACAGCAGCTCTCCTGTTCACCTCACAACAAAAGGCAGACGGACGCACTGATATGAACTGAACTGATGGATGGGTGATCTTAATCGGCCTTGCCTTGTCGTTGTCGGGCACTCCCTTAGCAAACACATGGCACGTTGGAAAAGAACAAGGGAACGCCAAAATACTGTTAGAGTTAGGTAACACAATACCTTCCAGATCCATTTGTGTCAAATCAATGCTTCTGGCAGATGGTGCCATGCAGAGGATGATTCAAATGGGTAAAATGATCCAAGCGATCAATAAAAAAGGAAACTGGACATCTAAGTATAAATAAAAAAAAACACTCAGAAATGCTTTGAGTTATGTTTTCTGTAAGTCACATCATTGTGGCTGCACCATCAGGACCACCTTTTCAAGGTGAGTGGTGGGCAAATGCTGCAGTTGCACAGTATTTCCAGTATGTATGCTAACAGCAACGGGAAAATGCTTACTGGCCTAGCTGTGCTTCAATGCTAACACTTGTGCATAAGCAGGAACAATAAGCTGAGATTTGGCTTCTGCTGTGTGTTTTGTTGTCCTTTTCCTTAACAGTACAACAACAATGCTTTTCCTCTACAGAAAAACAGAAGCTGCTGTTTGTGTAGCATTGTGGTGTAGATTGACGTAAAATAATTGGAAGTTTTTAATTCTAAAAACTTGGGATGCACGATATTATCGTCATGGTATCGGTATCGGCCAATATTAGCGTTAAAGTTAAATATCGGACATCAATTCAATTCAATTCAGTTTATTTATATAGCGCCAAATCACAACAAAGTTGTCTCAGGGCACTTTACAGAAACATTCACATACATAAAAGCCAATTAGTAAAGTTCTCTATCTAAGGAATCCAGCAGGCAAGTTGAATCTTGGCTTCGTTGCAGTCTCTCATCCTGAGCAAGCACAGTGGCAACAGTGGAAAGGAAAAACTCCCTTTTAAAAATCGGCCATTCCATCAAAATAACTCACCGACATCAAAGACGCTGTTTTTGTACTTTGCATGACAACCCAGTGGCAAGGATGCCTGCAGCGCCAGCACAATGTGATGACGTCACGCGCACCTACCTGACCTCACGGCAGAGAGGAAGAAGTCAAAATGTTGGCGGTGTGGAAGTTTTTTTTGTTGTTGTTGAGGATGTCGGATTCCCAAGATTTTTGGACTACATGGAGCCTCGCTACATCGTCCCCAGTCGGAGATATTTTTCCGATGTAACCTTACCCGAGTTACAAGCTGTCATTTCCAATGTCATTGAGAAGCTAATAGCCAATAGCACGACTTGTTGGGTGAGTTTAACCACAGACATTGGACGTCAAGTGTTAGCCCCGTTAGCATGATTAGTCTTAATGGATAGAGAAAACTTTGAACTTAAAAAGTCTGTCCTTCATGCACAGGAGTGCAGAGGATCCCACACTGCAGCTAGAAACCTGGAACAAGCCTCCACAAGTGAAACAGCATCGCAGGTGACTAATGCTAATAAATAACATTTAAAACTTTTCATTTAATATAAGTTAAAGTGCGTTGCATATGGCTGTTATTGAATATATGTCACCAGCTCTTACAGCTGTTACACAATATTTGTAGTAAATACTCCTAAATAAGAGGGCTATGCTCTGACAAAGGAAAGTATATAAAATATCAGTATCGGTTATCAGCCCAATAAGTTTTAACATATTGGATATCGGCCAAAAATCCAATATTGTGCATCCCTAAAACATTTTGTAATTCAGACTCGGAGAGTTGGAAGTCCCTGATCAAACTCAAAATCCAACCAGGAAGCATTGTGTAGGAAAAGTAGAGATGTTTGTAATACATTGTTTTATTGTCACCTCTGATAGTTTGAATCTCGTGAAATCAGTCTCACACACAGTATTTAAAAATTCACGTAAATAAGAAAGAGGTTTCTACGTTTGAATAACTAAAATATAGAAAAATACTTTGTCACTTGCTTGTACTGTTAACAGGTAAGCCGGTTATTAATAATGAAACTGTCCAGTAAAACTCTTGCAGCTCAGTTTTATACGACCGAACCTTTGAGGCCCTTAGCCGGTGCAATGTAAATAAACAGGCTACGCTTACGTCTCCCCCGTGTCGGTCTGTGTTCATAAACAACTCTGTTCCGACTTGTCCCACGCCCTTATCCAAACGTCTTTCACCCCACAAACAAACAGACTGGAGCGCAGATCAAACACGGGCTCTCATGCCACATCTCCTCCGTGGTTTCAAGGTCATTACCGAGGATGCCAATCAGTCCCAATGAAAGTCAAAGAGCTGCTCTAAAGACAAGCAGCGCTGCAGAGAAAAAACGTGTTGCGGAGACGACTGAAGACAGCTGAACCTATATACATTTCTACCAGAAAAAATAAATAAATCCTTGCAAGAAGTGACAAAGAGAAGCAGAACTCTTGAAACCATCTGATAATGAGATCACGAACAGCCAACAAGGATACAATTTACAGGTTCCTCTTTCAGCCCCCAAATACAGGACTATGTATTGGATTACTCCAGCAGACTTCAGACAAAATGAAGAATCAATAGCGACGCAGCATGGCGGAGTAGAGGACCGGAGCGCCGGGCTATTATGACCCCCCACAATCCTCCAACCGAGTTGGAGCGCAGAGGTCTGGATTTGGAACCACACGAGCAGTCGGCCTTACAGGGACCAGCTTCATCATCTCTAATGTTCTCAGAGAACATTTTAAATGTTATACTTGATTTAAAGTTGTTTTAGATCCTTTTGACTGTTTAGAAATATTTAATATAATCAGCACTAAAATAAAGCACAGAAATGAGCTTAACATTGAACCTTTTTAAAAGTGCTTTACAAATGTCATGCAGGGCAGGACTCAACATTTATCACCCATTGCCATTTTGGCCCATGTCTGTGCATGCATGTTCATTTGGGGCTGAGTTGTTAGAGCAGTCGTCCTCCAATGGGACAGTTGGGGGGTCGATTCCACCAGCAGTCACATGCTGAAGTGTCCCTGAGCAAGACACTGAACCCCTCATTTCCTTTGATGTGTGTCCCACCTGTGCATGTGATAAAGCACTGATTATTCTTTGTATATATATCTAGTAGAGTGATGTAT